TACGAGCAACGGGAGAAAAAGCGGCCTCGTTTAGACGTAGAGGATCAGCACTAGATATTTCAACCATATTGTCTGTGCCTTCAGAAATAGATATTTGCTCAACGGAGGGGGAGCGCATTAATTTTTCATGAGCAGGCTTGGCAGCCGATAAAGAACTCGAAGGAGGAGATGCGGAATGAAGAGGTGATCGCGAATGAGAGCGGAAATGTATTGGTGAGGCAGATTGAGATTGACGCCGAGATGGAGATGTGGAAGGGGAGCGGGAGGAATCTGGAGAGCAAGAAGAGCTGGTTTGAGCCAAAGGTGCAGGGAAAACAGACTGGGAGCCACATAAGTCTTGGATGGCGGGACTCGAGTGAAAAACCGAACCGGCAGGGTCAGTTGGGAAAATAGGAAACTAGTTGAGCGGTAGATAAAAGCCAACAAAAGCAATCCATTTAAGCAAGCATACATTTTAACCGACCACAGATGCAAAAGGACACACACATCCATGCACAAACATTTCAGAAATAAATGAATAAGTCGGAGATAAAAAGTGAAGAAACGATAAAAACATGCAACGCCCAAGAAAAAGGGCAGCGGTGGTGGGTTGAGACAACAAGAAATTATGTGGACGATTGAACCAAATTAGATAAAAATGACTTAGTGAGGAACACGATGCAAGTATAGGGATAGGAGGAAAATCGAATGGTTATTAAAGTAACGGGAGGGTGAAGGAATGTCCCCAAAAAATAAGGCAACAGAGAGCAGAGAAGGGTAGAGAACAGAGGGTTAAAATATGGAATTCGGAGCGAAGGGCGAAAATAACGTCCATTAATTGAAAATGAAAAAAGGAAGAGAATAAAATACAAGGAGCTTTGTCAGATAAAATAAGAATGAGATGAGATGTTGTTAAATATGGGATTGCAAAGAAGTAAATATTTAGACAAGATACTGGCTGAGTAAGAGATTGATATAAAACGAAATAAGACAGTAGATGTGCAGAAATCATTTGTGGACTGAGAAAAGAGTATGGCTTTTCTGCACACCCCATTAGAAAGAAAAGTTAACTTTACCATAAAATAAAACCTACCGATAACCTACCGATAACTTCTGCGATTGGAATCTCCAACTCAATATGCCAAACGCCTTCATATATTTCATTGAAAAACTTTGGCCATTAATGCAAAAGGAAAGCATAGAAAACGATTCTGGTTGTCTTATTAGCATTCAATTTCGTTGTTTGATCTAAAGCCTCTGCGAATTTTTGTTAATTAACGTTACAGGTCTGCTTCGCAAATTAAAAAATACACATTTTTATGTGCACAAATACTAGCCCAAGTTGGACCAATAGATAACTTTTGTAATGAGCAAAATGTAGCAAAGGTATTTGGACGTTGATAATGTGTAAATCTAGATTAACAATCATATAGAGGCTAGGTGCTCAGCTCTGTCTGGACGGCTAATGCTATGACAACTAAAAAACCGATGTGTCCTTTGCATACCTCGCGATCTTAACGTCAGCTTAGCTAAAAATAATTTATTAAGCCTTACCGTAATATATTTCTTGTAAACATGCCAATAATCCCATTTGAGATTACCTATTTTGTATAGCTAAAGCTATAAACTGGGTCCAGTAGTCGTTTCATTAGTTTTCGGTTCAATGACTTAGCTCGGTCAATGCCCCCCCCCCAGATAAACATAACACTGAGTCGTGTTTACAACATTACCAAGTTGGAAAAAAAAGAAAAAACACTTCTTAAAAAGAAAGAGGAACTCAATTAATATAAGGGCTACACCATCTTGGTCTTCATATACAATATCAAGTTATTCTGAGAAAGTTCATGATTAAAGTACCAAATAGACTAAGTACCTTGAAAACATTGTGAAGTAAAGGAGAATGAAACAGAAAATATGCCAATATTCCTTTTTTGATAAAACGTAGATAGGAATACCAAGATGTTAACTGCATTATCCCTTCGATGTATAGAGACGGTCTGATTTCGTTTTCAAAACTTGGCTATGTTATCATGGGTACCAAGTTGGAAGAATATTATCCGAAGTCCTATGTTATAGTAGTTGCGTTAGACCAGACTTGGTACATTTCCAGACGTTTCGCCTGCATCGTAGTTGCCATTGCCAATGAGTATTGACAATCTCAGCATTAAGCTACAAATCTTTAACGAGTTGTTTGCAGATGCTCTTCAACCCATTTTACATTTGAATGCATGATTAAATCAGGTCATTTGAGGATAGGGAATAGGTAGATGCGCCAGGACAGAAACAGAAGTAGTAGCACAACCGTCTGACGGAAAGTAATTAAAGAATTAGACTCTCTTGTCTCCAAGACAAATTGGTGCTGAGAATGGCAAGATTCACTGACGATGCCTACAACTATGCCGGAAAGACGTCTGAGTATGTATAAAGTCCATGGTCCAACGTTGGGAATTACCATAACTACTAAAACAGATAACTTCAGGCAAGATGCGTCAAACTAGGTAGCTCTGACAATAAAACCAAGTTGCGAAAACGAGGTCAGATCATTCCAATTTTTTCTTAGAGTTAAATATTTCACTCTACTATTGATGATAGCCAAAATAAAATTAAAAAAAACCTTTATAAAATGACAGTTTGCTAAACTAATTCACTTGATATAGATCATTTTAAAGGCAATATTACGATAAAATAAAGAAACTGAACATTTAATTTTTGTCATTTACCTAGTGCATTAGTTTATATAGGTATTGCTGCTCTTTCATTTCTAATTACCTAAGCTCTGATAATTTACAACTATAAAAAATTAGCTGGGCTTACACGATAAGCTTGGTAGCCACAAATAGGTCACAGTAAAGCAAATAAGTAAAGATAGTTTTTGAAAAGACAAGAGATTTACTGCATTTTTTCTTTTGTAAGATGCTCAACATGAATGGAGCGAAAGGAGACATTAGCAATAAAAACGAAAGTATAAGCACTTAAGTAAAATGTGATAGAAAAAAAATACGCATTAACAAAATGAAGTGCCAGTTGCTAAAAGAGGCATACGAATAAATCAAGTAATTTACTTGACATGGAGATACATGAAAAATAATGGAAAATACTGAAAACGAAATGAAACGTATGACTGACTCATTAGGCAGATATAACAAAAGCTGTAGCTAAGGGTAAAAAGGCGATGCTTCGCGCGTTCCATTACTTTTGTTGAAGAAAAAACGACGGTCTGATAATAAAAAATAAAAGGTTTATAGTCGTAAGATGAAATAAATAAAAAGATTCATTTGATATCGGATGCAAGCTTCATAGAGTTGGCCTCTACCATGCCATTAAATAATAAGACAAATATAAATAAAGGCAAACCTCAGTTTTAGATAGAGCCGAGTTAGCTGACGAGAATATCGAATGGGTATTATTAGAGTTGGCCACAGTAGGAATATCGGGGGCGGTAGGAACACCTGTTGCCGTAGCAGCGGCAACAGTAGCAGCTAAGGCTGCCACAGCAGAGGAGGAGCGCGTCTGTATGCCGAGTACGGGCTGCCGGACGAATCGATGCTGACCCCCTAGAGCGCCGACACTCGGGCCATTACCATTGCAGACAGAGGATGACGGCTGAGAATTGCGATCATCTCCATGCAGACGAGAATGGCCTGAAAAGCGGAAAATATAAAGCTTGAAGTGACAATGAAAAGTGCATAGTTATGAGTAATATCGAAGTGGTGCTTGATGTTGTAGATAAAGTAATGCTAAAGAAAAAAAGGTAGAAAAGTTGCGCAAAATACACAGCTATCATAAGGCCGTCTATCCGTCTTATTGTTAGTAACTAAAGTACTAAGAATTTAAAACAAATCTGAATTATATTTATTTAATCACTATAAAAGGGTAGATACGAAGAGAAACTGGGTTTCGATTAATCTCCTAAGATAACATTATTGGGGGGACTTTCATTTCGTATAAAAGTGCATGAAGAAGAGATTCGTAGGGCTATGACGAATAAATCCTGTTGTACTGCAGCCATTTGGCTTTTATACGATGTTCAGGCTGACGCAGTCCATGAGACTTCCGCCCTTGTTTCGGGTGAAAACGGGCTGACCTTTCGTCCATCATATAACGGACATCATCAGAAATCCGGCTATTACAAGAGTGTTTACTCATCTGGTCGATCTTATGTTAGTGAGACATGCCGATCTATTCGACAAAGATTGGGGGAACACAAAAATGCTTGTAAAGGAAGCTGAGTTCAACGGTTAGAAGTGGCCGAACACATGATATAAACTAGACATGAGATAGAATGGTCTCAAATTAGTAGGTTTGGTGATTATGGTACGTTTGTGGTTAAAAAAAACATACGAGAGGATATTGAAATTAGTAGCTTAGGAAATAATTTGAATGTGAGGAACGGTAGTAGAAAGTTGAGTAGGAACTACTTATGCTTGTTTGAGAGATTGAAAGAGAGAGGGTGTAAAGTCACTTGTCTCTGACGGGTGATTAGCTTGGTGCATAAAATGGCAAAACTCATTGATGATGCCGACTACGATGCGGGTATAGTCCACTGTCTGATGCTGGGAATCATAACTACTATGACAGACACCTCCGGACTAGATGCGTTCTACTGAATCGCCCTGACAACAAGACCAAGTTGCGACAACGAGGTCAACCCACTTCTATAAATCGAAATGAGACTACGACTATACCAGAGGCCACAACACCTTGGTCCTCATATCTTCAATGTTAGATTAAGCTCATTAACCAAACCAGACGTGCCAGATTAAGCAGCCCCAGTCATGTCTTTCCTTGGGGGGTTAAACATTAATGACCCTAGACTGAGAGGTTAGGTTTGTAACTTGACTTACATGCTTAAAAGCTCATATCTCATTCTTTCAACCATAATTGCTTAGGGAGTTAGGCGGTCTCGGTCAGGGTCATTAGACCTTTATGATCAGAGCCTGACATTAGCCTTTGGATAACTCTGATTTAGACGCTAACATACACACAAACATACACGCACATACTCGAGCAAAAGTAGCAGGACCAGTATGAAAGATAATTAGCCAAACCATTCTATATAAATCTATCTAGGTTTTTCATTTTATTTTGGCTTAATTTAGTCTATATAAGAGATAGTCTTCTTGCCCTAGTGTTAACGTAAGACTCACAGGAATGAGACCCAGCTCTGATAATGTCCATCATATGATGAACGAAAGCTCAGCTCGTTTTCACCTCAAACGTTGGAGGTCTCGTCAAGCTAAACGTTGTATAAAAGCCAAACAGCTGCAGTACAACGGAATTCATCCGTCCTCTTCTGGTGAAATCGACCTACGAATCTTGTCTTCATGCACTTTCATAAGAAATGAAAGCCGCCCCAACAATATAGAGGAGTAGAAGGCAAAGCGAAAGATTGCTGAAAAAAATATTACTTCATATGTTCTATGAGGATATTCCTGACGGGAAATTATTAAGAAAAAAACGTATACGTTTGGTCAAGTTTTGCAAATGCTTAAACCAATAGTTTCGATGACCTACCTCAAATCTTCAGACATAAATGGCATATTTTTGAGAAAAAAACAGTCTGATTTTCAAGAACCATTATTCTGCTATGAGGAAATAATGGCTCAAATTTGGTCAAAGAAGAAATTAAAAAAGATTATAAACACT